TCTCCCTCTCTCCCCCTTCCCCCCCCTCCCCTCACCCCTCTCTCTGTGTCTCTCAGAGATCAGTGGGAAGTGCTGGTGTGTCTGACCTAGAATGTATTTCTGTGGCAGTTCTGGAACCAATAGTTGATGCTAACAAACCTGTCCCATGCCAACACGGCACGTGTTATCAAGCTTACTTTTCCCTTTCCACAGTTGTCGATTTACCTTTGTCCAAGGGAAATGCAGGAGAACACTGCATAAAAAGGGGTCTGGTGATGTGGGTTGAAGTCATATCTAGTCTGGGGCATTGACCAGAGTTGGGGTGGTCCCAGCGTTGGTGAGGAAGACTGTAGCCCTTTCTTTGCCCTCCTGAGGCTCAGTCTTCTCCGAAGGACCGTCACTTACCAGTGTCTCTTGTTTGCTTTGAACCAAGTTTTCGTGTGGACAGCAGTGCATGGCGGCTTCGCAGGTCACTGTGGGGCTAAAATCTTGTGCAAGAGTCTGTCGGGTGTCCTTGCATGTTTGGGGGGCATGTGCTCTGTGTTGTGGGGCCAGGGAGACAGGAAAATGAGAACACTGATTACTGGTGCTAATGGATTTGGAACCTAGTATAACTTCGGTGAAACAGTAAGCTGGCTCTCAACAACCACTGATTTCCCCCTTTGCCTTGTGTTGGGTGGGTTGAAGGAGGTAGGAAATCCCATCTTTATTAAATCCCAAGTAAAACGTAGAGGCTTACATTTTTCACCCTCTTCTTTAACTCCCAGTCATCCTAATGGATATCTGTATTTTAAAACTGGGGAGGGAGAGACCCATGGCAGCATTTCCCAAGTGTTGCTGTCTGTTAGAACCACCTGGGATGACTGAGAAACATCCAGTGCCCAGGCTGTACCCCATACCAATTAGGGCAACATCTCGGGGGGCCCAGGCATCAGTATATATGTTTTTTACATTGTCCCAAGTGTATCCAGTATGTAGCCAAATCTGAGAACCAATTACAGATGGAGATAAAAATTGGCAATAAGCACTCAGAGGAGCCTGGCTCTGCAGGAGGAAATGTGACCTCACTCCTGTTTGCTTGGGTGGAACTACCTGCTTGCTCAGCTGCCCCTCCTTATAGTCCCTGCAAGAGAGCAGCTATGTGACTGTGGCCATCCTAAACTACAGCCCTGTCTGCCTCTCTCTGTCTGTCCCCAAGCCGGGCTGCTTTTTGCACAGAAGCAGCGATGATGGTGCTCAAGGGAAGGCCCATGATTTCGTAAGATCTATGAAGGCTTCAGCCTGTGAAAGGAGAGGCCCTCCCCCGCTCCCTCCGTGCAAGTCTTCAGGGGTTCTTTAGACAGGAGTGGCGAATCATGTTGGGTGAGGTCCCAGTCACCCCCTCGCCTGCCATCGAGCCTCCCGCAGCCTAAACAAGGAGTTCTTCGGTCTGGAGGAGCTGGGGTCACCATGTCTATCTAGTTGGATTTCATGTCCCCTTTGTCCTCTGACAGCCCCGAAGGGAAAGGAAAAACGGACTGCTCAGCTTCTGGGGAAGGCAAGGACTCACAGGCCAACAAAATAGTCCTGGTCACAGGTGTGCTCAGTGCTGTACCCATCACACCCTTGACCCCTGACTCGGAAGTGAGTTCTACTCCTGGAACCTCCCTAGACTCTACCATAGGAGTTATAGCAGGAGCCAGGAGTGGGCCCACTGGGCTTCTCTTTTGTGCACAGTGGTGACTTTCAGATACTTTATCAGTCCCCTGCCTCTTGGTGTCTCATGGTGGCCTTTAGTGTATGTCTCCATCTCCTTGGTATTCCGCAGTGGCTGGGATCTCTGAAATCCCACATGCACCCGCCAGTGTCTGTTCTTAGCAGTCACACACTTCCTCACTGATTCTTTTCCTCTGTTTCTCACTCGTGTTTCTTTCTGCCCAGGTGTCAACAGCGTCCATCCCACCCCCCCGGCTACATTGCGGGGCAGCCACTTGGAAGCCAGCTCTTCCCACTACCTCAACCCTGCCCAGCCCCTCTCTCCTCCGAGGGGCACCCTAGAGCTGGGCAGAATCCTGGAGCCTAGGTACCTGGGCAGCAGCGGCCAGTGGGATATGATGAGGCCCCAGAAAGGGAGCACATCTGGGGACCTGTCCTCAGGCTCCTCTGTGTGCCAGCTGAACTCCAAACCCACAGGCAAGTGAAATGAAACCTGATTTAGAGTCTGTGCCTTTCCTCCCTGGGTGAGGCTTTCTCATTTTTCTGGTCCCTGGGGATAAAGTGAAAGGGCACTGGCACTCCCAGACATGCTTCCCTCATCCAGGAATTGCTACAGAAGGGGTGGCCGTTTCTACCCAGCTCCCCACCCCATAAAGAGATCCTGTGTACGAAACCCAGTTCAGACTTTGCCTCTACTCCTGGCTCTCCTCGTCAGGGCCAGGACATTGCACCCAGTGGACAGGTTAGCTATACAGGTGACGCTGGGGCGCAGCTCTGTTCCAACAGTGAGACGATTGTCATTTGCAGAAAAAGACTGAGCCCGAAGCAGAATGGCCCAGGTGATGCGGGCGCTGCAGGCACGGCCGGCTGTCGTTAGCACCCCTCCCACCTCTGCACCTGTTACCCTCTCCCTGGGGGTGGGCCCTTCCTCCTCTCCCATCGCCTTCAGATAGGTGTGGCCCCACCCATGACCAGGATCCCGGCTCCCTCCTCTCTCCTTGCAGGGGCCGACCTGCTGGAGGAGCACCTTGGTGAGATCCGGAACCTGCGCCAGCGCCTGGAGGAGTCCATCTGCATTAACGACCGCCTGCGGGAGCAGCTGGAGCACCGGCTCAGCTCCACGGCCCGCGGCAGCGGTAGGCCGGCCACGGGCTTCCCGGTCTGATCGTGGGTCGGAGCTTCTGGAGGGAGGGCCCTCGGGCACAGCTTCTGGGTTTTCAAAGCACCACGGCCGGCTTTGCTCTGGTTGCTCCCTGCAGACAGTCCAGCAAGGCAACTGGGCAAGTGCCATTGCCCTTACTGTGTGGATGAGGCTAGGGGAGCTCAGAGAGGAACCTTCCTTCTGGCAGAACCAGCCAGGTCTGTCCCCAGAGCCGGGCTTCTCAGCCATCCTTAACCTGCTCACATACTTCCTGCTGACTCCTCTGCGCCCCTGTCGTGTGGTTGGCAGGTGGTAGAGCCAGGTCTCGGGGCCCTCCCCAGCCACCTACCCAGTGGCGGTTCCCCCTCCTGTCCCCCCAGGCTGCTGTTGCTGGGAGGCCATCCCTCCCACACACCCTGTCCTGCCCACAGTGCAGCAGCAGCTGTTTAGGGGAGTGAACCTCCCTAAGGACCACATCGAGGGCAGGAAATGATGCAGCCGAGAACCCACCAAGAGGAAGACGGGTGTGAAACCAGGCCTAGGCCCACCAGGCTCGCGTCCTCGTGGTTTTCTGCCGGGTGGGGCAGTATCTTTGGAGATACAGAAGTGGCAACTTTGAAGGCATCTGTTTCCCAAATGCGTAACTGGCCTGCTTGCACTTTCTGGACAGGCTCCACCTCTACCTTCTGCAGCCAGGGCCTGGAGTCCACACCTCAGCTCTACAACGAGAACAGAGCCCTTCGAGAAGAAAACCGCAGCCTCCAGGCTCAGCTGAGTCATGTTTCCAGAGGTGGGTGTCAAAAGCCACAAGCTGTGGTCACTCTCGGTCCCCTTTCTTCCCTTGCCACACCAGTCGCCTGCCCATTGGAGAAGCAAAGAGGAGGTGGAAAGAGCAGCTACCCAGGCCCACTCTCCCAGACTCCCATGGCCGTTCTCAGCCTGGACTGGCTGCTCCTGAGAGGTGCCCACTGTGTGCCCTCAGACTCCCAGGCTCCAGGGGCAGGCAGCTCTAGGAAATCCACCCCTTCCATGCAAACCTGCCTGCAGATATGTAGCCATTGGCTGTCAGAGTATATATTGGGTGTCTGGTCTACCTCCCCCCCAGCTCACAGCTGGTTTTGAACCAGAAAAGGAAGGAACCTGAGTGCTTGTAAACACTCTCAAGTCTCTCCAGACGTTCCTGCAGCTCTGTGTGCTTCGGCTCATCTTCCTGCTGGCCTTTGCCCCCCACTCTAAACGCTCCTGCGTTCTGCCCACCAGAGCACTCCCAGGAAACAGAGCGCCTGAAGGAGGCCCTGCTGACCTCGCGGTCCCGGCTTCAGGAGCTGGAGGTGGAGCTGGAGCACCAGAAGGTGGACCGGCAGCAGCTTCTGGAAGACTTGAAGGAGAAGCAGCAGGAGATCTTGCAGTTCCAGGAGGAACGACTCTCCCTCCAGGAGAAAGACTCCAGGTTCGGGGGAGCCCACTGGTAGGGAAGGTGGCCCCAGTTTCACATGTAGAAGAAGGGATTGCAAGATAGTTAATCGCCCCTTTTTGAAACCTCAGTTTCCCCTTTGCTATTCCTGATTTATGGGTGACTTTGCACAGAAGGAAGGACTTCTCTGGGATGCCTGTGTCACTCCAAATTTGAGAGGGCAGAACTTCAGCCATGATGCTCGTCCCCAGCATAGATTCTCTAACTGCCTGGCTGCATGAGAAGAGCACTCACTCCAGGGCAGTAGGAGCACTGTGCCGGTGTGTCCCAGCTGCAGTAGCTAATGACATGACTCCAAGCACAGTCACTTTCCCTCTCCAGCCTGTCTTCACATCTGTAAAATCAAAGCCATGGTCTCCGTGACCCCTGGGTTCACAGCTAGGGCTGAACTCTCTGATGCAAAGGCTGGCGCCCAGTGTTTTGCCCTGCTGCAGCCAGGTGCTGCCAGCTCAGCAGGCCTTGCGTCTCCCCCCAGGCTGCGGCACAAGCTGGCCCTCCTGCAGCAGCAGTGTGAGGAGAAGCAGCAGCTCTTCCAGACCCTGCAGTCGGAGCTGCAGATCTACGAGGCCCTTTATGGCAATTCCAAGAAGGGGCTGAAAGGTGTGTGTTCTCCCCGACTCCCCTGCCCCGTGGCTTCCTATCCTTGTTAGAATCCCAGTGAGGTCTTCTTAAGCTCTGGAGTTTAGAGAGCTTGGGAAGCTACACAATTCTGTCTCAGAAAACCACCAACCAGGCCTGGGGCTGCCAATCAAAAGAGAGGGGTGACTACAGCAAGATGGAGCCTAGACATCCTCAAAAATAGGTCACAAGGGTTAAACTTCACCCACCATCTAGGCCAGAAACAAGTTCATCAAGGCCCAGATTATACAATGACATTGTTTAAATATGAAGAACTGTCCTGATGGTGTCAGCATCTGAAAAAGGCCTTGAATATTGTGACTAATACATACCGACCACCCACACAGCCCATGTAGCAGGCAGCCTGCTCCCACTCTGACCCCTTCCCCAGGGAGAAAATGAAAAGCTATGGAAATTGTTTTATGGAAATACCACTAACAGGACCTAAATTTCAAGGCTGGATTTAAACTTTACAGTCTTATTGAAGATGTATGCCACCTACTGAAATAATGATTTTGAAAAGTCCTGAGCTTGATTAAAAATATCGGTGATAGAAACACAGGTTGTGGAGCCTGGGTCTTTAGCCATTTGTGGGCTTGAGATCGAGGGAGGGAGGTAGATGCTCGTTTTCACGAGGAAGTTGTCGGCCAAGGTTTCTAGAAGGGCCACCTCAGCCTGAGACCACAGCGATGTGAGCGTGGTGTCCCTATGGTGAGACCATGTCAGAAATATGGTCAGATCGTGGCACCACCTTGTAAAAGGGACATTGACAAACTCAGGAACATAATGAAGACATGGACTCCTAAGGGGGTGGGGGTGGTCATCAATTCTCCTCCTCCCCCAGCGCCTGCCCCTCTTTAGTTCTGTGCTGACCTCCTGTCTTAGAAGACCCTGCTCACTAGCCAGCAGGACTAAAGTCAATATGGAGATAACAGGCTTGACTTCATCTGCCAGTCAAACGCCCTGTAGGTGCATGTGGGTAATTTGAGCTTCAGTGAAATCCCAGACTTGGATGTGTGCCAGACTCCACACGGGAAAAGTGACATTTCCATCACAGATGTGTGGCCTGGGACTCTGAGAGGACAGTGGAGCCCTTGGCAGAAAGGAATGTTACGGAGGAGTGTTCTGACAAATGCTGAGAAATGCTTGGATGGAGGCTACCAACCCGTCCTGTCTCTTCTTTCAGCTTACGCCTGGGATGCCTGCCACCAGGTCACTTTGAGCAGTGACTTGAGCCATCTGGTGGCAGAGATCCGAGCCCTGAGAGGGCAGCTAGAGCAGAGCATTCAGGTGAACAACAGTCTGCGACTGCAGCTGGAGCAGCAGCTGGATGGTGGCACCAGCAGAGCCAGCCTCGGCGCCTCCTCTGCTAGCCAGGAGTCCCCGGCCAACAGGGACCCTGCAGACAAGCAGCCGCTCTTCCAAGGTAGGAGGAAAGGGCAGCAGGCAGCCCTTAGCCAGCGGGGAGGCCTGTAGGACGCCTTGCCCTACGCGGGCTGCCATGATGGTTGTCCCCTCCCTCTAACCAGGCTTTCCCCTTTCTTGCTGCCTCCCCAGCACCAGCCAGGACTCAGCCCCACTGGCTCAGCCACTGCACCTCCCGTCCCCCCAGAGGCTGAGTGGGGGGCAGGCCCTAGGCCACCCTGGCCTGAGCAGGCTGGTTTCTGTCTGTGATACTTTCCAGTTCCTGCCCTGTAGGCTTGCTGCCTGGTCTCCCACCGGGCTCCCGCCAAGGCTCCTGTCTCCTATTCTCATACTATTATGTTTTTTCCAGTCTCGACTCATCACAATGGTGATTAGAATGCTGAGTTTAGTTGCCCATATGTCCATTCATTTCTTGATTCAATATTTTTAACATACATGCTACCTATATTTATGTATATTTATACTTAGGTACAAAGCATAGTATTAGACACTACATACAAAATTGTAATTAAAACTGGGGTTAGAAAAATATACCTAATAATTTCTTAAGCTAGACCTTGCTTTCTCGTGGAACACCCTTCAGTTTTAGGAACATCTTGTTCCAAACCAAGTGGTTGGTTTGCTCTTGTTTCGCTGGTGGCACGTGGGTGATGACTATGTAAGAGGCGAGTCAGGCCGCCTCGGATCTCCAGCGAAGTGGCGGCTGGGTGTGCGCTTGGTGAGCAGTGTGTCCGGGTTCCTGAAAACCCTGCTTGTCTTCACTCCCCAGATCCCGCTGCCTCCCCTCCAGTCCGGGATGTCGGCATGAATCCGGCGCTGGGCTTCCCTGGCTCTTCCTCCGCGGCTCCCGGCTCAGACTCGGGCATCTTCAGTAGCACAAATGGTAAATATGCAACTAGAGGACTCAGGGACTGGCGATGGACAGTTACTACTGCAAGTAACCTTTGGTCTTCTACACGCGTTGTCTGAATTTAGGGAGTTTTCTCTGCGTGTCCCAAGGCCTTTAGCCCCACTCATGAGCCGCCTTTCCTGTCATCACACTTTGTCCTGTGGTTTTCCTTCTGCTCTGCTCTTGTTTCATGCACTGTAGTCGGGCCCTTCCTGAAAGTGCTTTCTAATCCAGCCTGATCTTCTGCTCTGTGTCTCATCCCAGAAATTTCAGTCTTTTAATTTTTAATAATATTTGTCATGACTATTTCGTTTGTAACAAGCACAGAATTTGCCTCCTGGCAATTTTGTCATTGTGAGATGATGTAAGAAAGATGATAAACCCAGAACATCTGGACCTCGCACCACGCTCATGCTGTTCCACGCCTGCCTTCCCTGTTCCTGGTGCCCCGCAGTGTTTGATGTACCTTTAGGATGGAGGTGAACTGGAAACGTGATTATAAGTAACACTGGGGCTTTTTGTTGTGGTTTGGTTTTGCAGAGCTGGGTTTTGATGCTTCCCCAGTGATGAAGACCCCTCCCAAGCTGGAGGGCGATGCTGCCGACGGCTCCTTTGCCCATAGGCACGGCCGCCACGTCGTGGGCCACATCGATGACTACAGCGCCCTCAGGCAGCAGATTGGAGAAGGCAAGCTGCTGGTCAGGAAGATTGCGTCCGCTGTGAGATCCGCCTGCAGCTGCCCCGGCCTCGAAGCTCAGGGCGCAGAGGTGGGCACACCACAGCCCCTCGGTGCCCCTTCCTCGTGCCCTTCCTCTCATTTTAGCTCCCTCTCCCAGTGCTTTTTCATGCTCTCCACCTCCCAACAGCTGAAGGTGCATCTTACATTTATGCCCAGCCAGGCCCGGCTTCTCCATCTCCTGTTTTCACTGTCGACTCTGCTCTGCTCGCCATGTAGCTGGCTTGATATTTCCCCTCAGGACCCCAGAGGAGCCCACTCAGCCTCGCCCTCCTCATCAGCAGAGCGCTTGTTAGGTGTGGACATCCACGTGTTGCTGTGCTGAGCACCCATTGGTAGCTTATTCTCTGGTCCAGTCCCATTGGCACATGGCCATCCATGGTGACAATAAAACCACTTACCCGGATGGCCAGACATTGAGAATTCACACTAGAGAGGGAGACACACATCAAAGTCAATAAGTACAACAAGGGGTGCCCGGCACAGTGCTGGACGCCGCCCTCCGGGTGTGAGGGCCGTTATCCCAGGCAAGTAGCAGGCTCCTAGAGGGACGCCACGGGGGCGGTGCAGGTTCCCCGGGTGCAGGAGGCCATTCCAGGCGAGGAGAGCGGCCCCTCAGGCCCTGGTGCTACGCATGGTCCAGCCCAGGTGAGGCGTAAGGTGTGACTTAGGGAAGGCAGAGGGTGTCAGTGCAAAAATTAGGGACTGCACCCTGGCCAGTGTGGCTCAGTGGTTAGAGTGTCAGCCTGGGCACTGAAGGTCACGGGTTCGATTCCTACTCAAGGGCCTGTGTCTGGGATGCAGGTTTGAGAGAGAGAGGAAAGGAGAGTAAGAGTGAAACGTTGATTTGGTGTTTCACTCATTCACTGGTTACTTTCTTTTCTAGTCACCATTTATCCCCTCTGTGCCCCCTTCCACCTCCACCCCCCTCCACACTCACACACCTGTCATCAGCACATGGGGGATTTATTTCCTGCTTCCAGGGGGGCAAAGGGGGCTCAGAGTGTCTGTTTTGCACCTGCTCTTCCTTAGGTACCTTTAATTCAAATTAATCAATATGCCATCATGACTCCCGAGCCTGGAGCAGGCCTGGAAGTAAAGAGAATGTGGGGGGAGCCGGAATCAGATGAATCCTTGCAGGTGGGAGGTCACTGCTGAGGTCAGAGCCGCTGGGCTTCCAGGTCAGGGTTTCCCAGGTGCAGGCAGGCCCGTGTCTGCCTTGCTCACAAAGGAAGCTTAATATGGATGATGACAGCGAATGGGGCCCGCTGTGCTTTGGGGGAAAGTGACCTCTCAGCCCCAGTGACGCCCACCGCTCCCTCCCTCTTCTCCCAGGTGCTGGGCGGCAGCCCTGTCCAGGAGCTTCAGAGCAGCGCCAGCGCCCTGCGCCACGTGCTGGAGGAGTCGGCCTCCCTCCTCACCATGTTCTGGCGGGCGGCCTTGCCGAGCCCTCATGGCAAAGCGGTAAGAGGACCAGCATCCTTTACCGGTTCTGCCCCCTAATCACCTTGCCGCCTCCCCAGTCCCTCCAATCCTGACATCAGGAGCCCAGTGGTAAGGTAGACAGACCGGACCTTAGAGGTGTGTCCCTGGGGGACGTCTCATCTGTGGTGGCTGCTTTATGTGCAGTTCTGACCACATCCCTTCTCCTCCCAGCCCCAACCCCGGGATAAGAGATCAGAGAGGAAAAGAAAGGGTATAGAGAAGGGAGAGACATGAGAACCCTGGTAACCTGTAAATGTTCAGTTTAACTTTCCCAAGTTGGGCTGAGCTGAAGTCCAGGGACAGGTTAATGCATCAATATTCCTACCCACCCGCCATCTGCAGAGTACAGCAGGATCCCAGAATGTCACCACGAGATGCGCAGGCACTGGTAACCACCCGCTTGAACCCACCTTAGCGCTTAGATCTGCATCTTTGGGTCAGGCCCAGGGAGTGCCTGCCACCCCCAGGTGCTCTCAGACCTCGGGCCTGCTCTCTGGGTGGCAGCACCTTGGATAGGCAGGTTTCAGAATCCCCTCCCAGGCTTTTACCTCCAGATTTATACTGCCAACACCTTAGGGGACCTGACTATGCTAATTCCAAAGGAGGGGGTTTTGCCACCTTGAGGTTGGCACAAATATTTACAAAATTGCAGACTCTCAGGACAGCCCTGTCTCCCCAGGCATAATAATCCTATTACCAAGGCTCATTCATGATGCTGAGTGATATAACTGATGTCGGCACTGAATTTGAACTCTTGCTCACAGCTGGGAGTTTCCGAGCTGGCCTGGGTCAGGTCCTCTCAGCAGCAGGAGACAAGGCCTGCAATCTGCTTGGGGGCTTCCCGGTGCTCCATGTTCCTACCTAATGGCTCATGCTGAGCTGTCAGTATTGCAGGGTTTTAGAGACCTCCATGGAATCCAGTCAAGAATAGTTGGGAAGATTGTAGAATCCTGTAAGGAGCAACAAGCATGGGGTGCTTTGAGCCTTCTGCCCATTGACAGCCAACCTGTCCCTGTTCCCCAGGGAGAGTCCATGAAAAGGGAGCTTCTGGAGCTTAGAACCCAGCTATCCAGACAGGAGAGCCTCCTGCAGAGCACAGCCGAGCGCCTGAGGACCGCCAACCAGCAGAAGGAGAGCATGGAGCAGTTCATCTTCAGCCAGTGTGGGTGCCGCCCAGCCAGGGAGTGGGACAGGAAGGGGGGGAGGAGGGTGCTTCCAGACTCCCCACCTGAGCTGTGGACCGACAGTGACCAGAGTGGCTGGGGGAGGGGGAGACTGATGTGATGTCCTGAACCTCCTGTGCGATGAGTCATTATGAAAGCAGAGCAACTGTGGGACCTGGGGGACAGCTGGAGACCCTGAGCTGAGCTTGCCAGGAAGACACACTTTAGAACACACACCCAAGGCCAGTGTGGGCCCAGCTGGTAATCTCCGCCTTGTCGGGCTGTTCTGTTGTTTCAGTGACCAGGACACACGATGTTTTGAAGAAGGCAAGGACTAATTTAGAGGTAAGGAAGCCTCTGCACCAGTCAGAGCCAGAGAGCCCACCCCAACAGCCATCTCCATCCGCCGTCAGGGTCTGTGGGTGATGCCACCTTCTCGGACCACCCAGGCTTCTGGTCCACTTGTGGGAGCACAGGAAGTCAGCAGGCATCCTCTGGTCTCCAGCCCCCTCGGCCCTCCCCCCAGGGGCTCCCTCCCGGCCATCCCGGGTCACTCTCACATTGGTTCATCTTCTCTCTTTGCTCCAGTCACCTCTCCTCTTCTGCCACATCAGGGCCCACGGGAGAAACGCAGTTCATTGATTCTGGAGGCCAGAAGCCACGTGGGAGTCGGCCTCTGACTTAGTTTCCAGTAAAAGGGCTCCTGAGGCTGGTTATATGGTCTGGGGTTTTCTGTGTTATTTTATGAAAAAAGTAAAAGCAAGATGCAACCTAATAAATTGATTCCACTGCACACTATTGGGCTGAGGGCAGCAATTTGGTTTTGATATGTCTTTTTCTCTTAAGCAATATCACACAAGAAAATCACTGGGTCTTACTGACCTAAAAAAGAATGTGATAAATAAAGACTGAGCCCTAAAGGGGAAGATTTGATGTACACAGCAGACATTTTCCCCAGTTACTTAAAACGCTAACACATTTCCCAGCAAGTACTTTGAAGAAAAACTTGAGATATTAGAAATGGCTTACAAATCAGAAACTAAGTCTTTAACCTGGACTTGAACGCTTCACCGTAAGCAGCCGAGCATATTCCTACACAGTAACCAAGGAGAATGTGGGGACCCTGATTGAACTCTGCACCCCCTCCCCTTTTTTGGCTAATTCCCTTCTGTTTTTCTCTGATGACTCCTCTCCCCTGAGCCTGTTTAGAAGAACAGTTCCAGGATTGCCTCTGTAAAGCCTTACGCCCACCCCAGCAAAGGTAACCCAATGGCTTTAGCAACCCCTGGCTTCTGCGGTGTGGGAGTTTCCTCTCTACGTCTCCTGGGCCATTGCAAAGGGCCCAGGCCTGGGTTCTAATCCCAGGCCTGTCACTAACTGTTTGTGTGGCTTTGGCTGGCTCCTTGGCCTCTGAGCCTGCTGCCCCTCATCTGTGAGAGGTGGCACTAACCTAAATGACCCCTGAGGTCCCTGCTGACTTGGCCCCTTTTCTCCTCGTTAAGTAAATGTGGCATAATGGGGACTCCCATGCACAGTGTCCTCTCCTTTTCACAATGGGCCGTTTCTGTGTGTGCATGTGTCATACTGAGCATTTCTCCCGGGAGAGCACAAAGCCGTGGTTTTGCTCCAGAGTGACTGGAGAGTGAGCTGGCCCCCGAGGAGAGGGGGTGGTAGGACCTGGCCACCGCATGTGCAGTGGCTTTGAGCAGGGACATCACTACACGAGGAGGCGGGAAACTTTCCACTAACCTGGTGGCGCCAGTTGCTCCCTGGCCACAGAGCATCCCCGCAGCTCATCCTTTTACCAGGCCCTTACTGTGCTCCTGGCTCCTGTCACCACTCAGCTGTCCCTCCAGCCTCCGTGGCCACCAGCAGGGCCCGATAACAGGGCCTTACTTGGTTTTGTTTTTGTCGCCAGGTGAAATCCCTAAGGGCTCTGCCGTGCGCTCCAGTCTTGTGACCCTTGCCTTCCAGGAGCCATGCAAGAAGCGCAGCCACCAGCGGTCCTTAAAGCAGCAGGAAGGATGGGCCTGCCCCCCTTTTGTGCAGCCGCCGATCTGCTGAGGAAGGCCCGGCCCGGCCCTGCCCGGCCCGGCCTCCACGTCGCTGGGGTCTAGGAGCCAGAGCCGGGCTTGCGGGGCAGACGGCAGAGGGCCCCTGCTGCGCTCACGGACACTTCAGCCAAGGCCACGCTTTCTCCAAGCAAAAGCACGGTAGTTTGTAGAGGACCTTGGGGCGCCGCCTCCAGCCGCCCAGGGGATGGGAGCCAGCAGCAGCACGTGGCTGTCTCGCTTCAGCAGCCATCCTCAGACGGCAGCTCAGGGGAGATGGGGCCCTGCTTCCCGCAGATGGGGCGCGGTCCCAGCGCTGGAGCTCCTCAGCAGTCCAAGCACAGGACAGCAGCGGTGCCCTGCCGGACAGGGGGCTCGGCCAACGCCACTCACAGAGCCACCCCTGACCGGGCAGCTCAGCTGGGGCACAGTCAGGCTGGGCGTCGCCCACCCAGCAGCACCTGAGTCCTTTGAACCCTCATGGTGAAAGGGGTCACCTCCCGGCTACCATCTCACGCTTAGCCTGGCACCTACTTTATTCTTTTAGGATCTCCAAAGCGTCCCGACCTCACTCTAGATACGCTGTCCCTTTTTAACACCCTAACTTCTCTCTGGGGGATTGGGGACTGAAGGCCAGACCAGGCCCATGGGAAGTCTTGTGTAAAGCAAACCAGTGACCCTTTCCAGGTGGCCTGTGGGAGAGATGCCCACATGTGCTAAAACCTAGTCTGTCCTCGCGGTGCTTTAGTGTGTGTGTGTGTGTATAGATGTACAATATATATTTATATATGTTGCTATAGCGATGGGTTGAAGGCTGATGTAACTGGTGGACAGGGTCCGAGAGAGGAAACGAAACTTTTTTTTCTGGTGGTGATTAGAGCAAATGTGCATAAAGAATAAAGAATTTTCCTTCACCTGCTTTGTCTCCAGCGTCTGCCTTGGTCTCTGGCTGAGTGTGTAAGAGTCTTACAGAGAGTAAGGCTGCCCTTGAGAAGCTCGGTCTCATGCTTGACGTCTGCGTTTAAAAGAAAAGAGTTTTCCTTGCCATTTTGTAAGAATCCGTAGTCTAAAAATATCAAGAGTGGTTCTTAAATTTGGGGTGCCTTAGAGTCAGCTGTAGAGGTTACAAAAGCTACTTCCTGGGCCCCAAACCCAAGAGAGTTAGTTGTGGGGGCCCCAGGATCTGCGTTTTTTTAACATAAACATCCCAGGTGATTCTGAAGCAGGTGGGCTGCAGACCACAGTTCAAGAAACGTTTAAAGCATTGAATCAAAACTATAAAAACATTTATTTTACTTTAATGAATAGAATTTAATTAAAAAGTATATAAGTCATTCCATAAATGTTGACCTAAAGATCTTAACATATTCCTGGGGAAAATCCTCAGTTATGCCCTCTTGCTTTCCAGAATTAAAATAAAGCTGCCACTCCACAATTATTTCCTAGAAACAGTTAAAGAATTAAAACAACAAAAAAGATCCATTAACAGACTCACGCCTGAGCTACAGACAAGCCTGCCTTTCGCAGTAGACGGCGGGGCCCCGGCATCTGTGTTCACACTCAGTTGTTTGAACGATTCTGTGAGTGTCTTTGGCTCTCAGGACAGAGGGACTCGCTGGCAGGTTCAGTAAAATGGGTAAAAAGTCAGCAAAACCATTAAGTTAAAGTAGTAAAATTTGAGGACCACTTGCCCTGTGGTTACTGCAGCATCTGGGCAATTCTCCCTTCGCCCCTGTGCCAGGGCCGGCAGGCATGAGTCGTACAATCAGCGATCAGTGGAGAACTCAAGCGTTGCTTCTGAGAAATACATTTATGTATGTAACCTTCATGAAAACAACATAGGACATCATATAAATCTCCGACCTGGTCAGGATCCAGCCACAAATTACTTTTGGGAAAAGTCTTCAAAGCCATCCTTGTGTTTCACCCTTTGAGAAATGTCCAAAAGTAGCCCTGTGCCTTAAAAATAGTTGCAAAAATACCCCTCCTCTTTTGAGAGGAGGAGTCTCCAACATTTAATTTTTAGTGAATTATAGTCTTTCCATGTGACAGAAACAGAGCCCGCTCTTAAATTCAGGCGGTGTGACCACCATGTCTTCTGATCTGCCGTCATTCAAATAAGAGCCAGGGTGAGCCCTGTGGGGAGAACCGGGTGAGAGCCCAATAGGAAAGATGGGAAGGGGAGGGGGAATGGCAGGTACCTGACATAGCGCGTAAACCAGGTGAAAATAGCTCTCGAGCTATCAAGGCGAAATTTATTCAGGGTGGTTATTCCCCTCAGGCCTTGCTGCTGCTGGAGCGAGCTAGACCCTTGCGCTGGTTTTCTTTTTCTGTCATAACAAGTTACCATCCACTTAGGGGCTTAAAAGGAGACAAATGTGCTATCCTGCAGCTGCCGTAGCTAACAGGGATCTCACCAGACTAAAGTCAAGGTGAGCCCGGGGCTGCCGCACCTTCTGCGGGTTCTCAGGGATAATCTGGTTCTTTGCATTTTCCAGCCTTTAGAAGCCACCCCCCCCGCCCCCCCCATGCTTGGCGGGTGGTCCCTTCCTCCAGCTTCAAAACGAGCCACGGCGGGAAGAGTCCTCACATCGCATCATTCTGACTTCTTCTGCCCCTTCCATTTTCAAGGCGCCCTGTAGTCATGACCTGGCGCCCACCTGGAGGATCCAGGGTAATTTCCTCATATTAAGGCCCTTAACGTAATCACATCTGCAAAGAAACGTCGCTGATGAGAGCCCCTGATCAGCTGCCTCCTGCGCGCCCCCTACTGGGGATCGAGCCCCCAACCCGGGCCTGCGCCCTGACCGGGAATCGAACCCTGGCCTCTGGATCATGGGTCAACGCTAAACTACTGAGATGCAGGCCAGGCTCCTTCAGCCTTTTTAAAGAGGGAATCAAATCTTGATAGGTGCTACGACGTGGATGAACCTTGAAGACACGCGAAGTGAAGGAGAAATCGCAGAAGGGCAGAAGGCAGGCGGGAGGGGATGGTGGGTAACAGACCCGGTGGCGTCCGTGGGTTCGTGGGGCGCGGCGTCGCAGTTGCAGGAGCGGTGCCCTAGAGGGGGTGCTCCGGGAGGGCGAGAGGAGGCGCGGGAGACCAGGGGTTAACCCCAATACCTTGGGGGCAGCGTGCTGATGGCTCTGTGGCAAGGCCCAAGGCACGACCACGGGAATGGGCCTTGCGGTGTGAGAGGAAAGAGTCCAAGGGAGGAGGATAAGGATTTGAGGGGTCACTGCTGGGGGTGGGGTTCCCACAGGGAGCCGAAATCACAGAACATGGCAACAGGAGCAGGGGCGGGGGAGACAGACCGAGGCGCTGAGGGTCTTGGTGGCTGAAGGAAAGCACATGGGAGGCCTGAGGGTCAGCACGGGCCACAGCAGGTGGCAGATCCTTCAAGGAGCCGGGCTTCTGGAGGAGGAGGCGGCGCGGGTG